TGAGGGTTTTGAAGAAGTGAAAATGTGATTTTGATCAAAACTTGTTTAAACTTCGAATGGGGGCCTAGGTCTAGCTAATTTGGGGTCAAAGAATCCATTTTTGGTCTCGGAATTGGATTTAGAGGTCATTTTGGGGGTGAAACGGGCAATTGCAAGTCTGCCCTTGTGTTTTAAAAAATAGTTTTTGGCTAACTTTGACCAATAATTTGATGATGCTAGAATTCAATTCAAAAGTTGAGTCTAAGAGGGATTGATACTAGGTTATCCAAGGAGTATGTGAATGTTAAAATCAAAGGATATGGTGTATTGTAGTGGGAGAACCAGGTGGTCAAAGTAGGGTGGTTGAGCAGAAATTTCTGCACTTAGGGCAAAAGTCAAATAAACTAAGGTTGAAGATAAGGTGGGGTACGGGATACCAGTGGACTCTGACGGCAATTTTGGCTTCATCCGACCTCTGGTTCGTGCCAAAATCTCCGTAACATTCATGCAGAGGTCCTAGTAAAATTTCAAGTTGATCCGATAGTTGGATCAAAATAAAAAGTAAAATGACTATTTTACCCTCCGGGGTCAAATTGATCTAGTTTTGAGTGATTTTTGAGAAAATAAATTCTATAGTTATTCTTAGGTAGGTTAATTGAGTATATGTATTAAATTTTATCGAAAAATAACATTGTTTAGTTTTTGGTTATTTTAGATCAAAATACCGAGCGGGTAGATTTCTCAATTCTGGAACAGGCGATATTTTTTCAACTTGTTTCTAAATTATTCTATAATTTATTTATGATTTTTTAGCATGTTTTGAAATATCTGATTGGGTTTTTTGAATATTAACTTGGATCTGGACCCTGATGTAGGGTTTCTGAGTGCGGGTTGCACTAATGTTTTGGAAATGATAGTATTGCTTGAATTGTTCGTATTGAATGAAACTCCGGGATCCTTTTTATGGAAATATAAGTGCACACGGCTCGAGTGACAAAATGTTTACATTCCAGTTTGAGGCCATAGAGGGTACTCATTGAGTTTGTAAATGCTTGAATGGCCCTGTTGGTCTTGGAACTTGGGTACTGAACATTGACTAGGGAGTGTATCTTCCTCGGGGTGGAAGTCCCGTAAAAGGTTGGATTGTATGTTCGTATGGACCCTTAGTGGTTTATTATGATGAATTGCCCACCAATGTAGCATGTGTCGTTGGGTCAGTTGAATTCCTTCACTCCTATTCTAGCATCTCTTATTGGTTCACCCGGTAATGGTTTTCCAGTAGTCACCAAGGTTATTGATAATACCACTATTGATGACTCTAAGCTTCCTATTACAGTTAGAAAAGGTGTTCAATTTTGTACTCAACACCCCCCATATCTAAATTTGTTTCTTATGATTCCTTATCTTCATCTTATCCTACATTTGTTTCTTGCTTGTCCTCTGTATCTATTTCTCAGGGTCGAAAGAAGTTCTTTCTTAGGGTCAGAAGGAAGCTCTCATTAATCTAAAGTGACAAGTAGCAATGGTAGAGGAAATGAGAACATCAAAGAAGAATGACACATGGGAATTAGTTCCACTTCTTATTGGAGCAAGAGTTGTTGGGTGCAAATGGTTTAGTTGGGAGATACAAGACAAGTCTGGTTGCTAAAGGATTCACTCAGACATATGGAATTGATTATCAGGAAACTTTTACCCTTGTGGCAAAGATGAAGTTCATACGTGTCTATTAGATGTGAAGAATGCCTTTCTCCATGTAGACTTGGAGGATGAGGTATATATGGAGTTTCACTTAGTTTTTAATCTTAGTTAATTGAAGAAAAGGTGTGTAAGTTGAAGAAGCAGTCACTTTAGGGCCTGATTTGATAGATTTCTCAAAGCGATGTTGAAATTTGGGTATAATTAAAGTCATGTTGATCATACTATGTTCATCGGGCGGGTAAATAACAAAATAACAGTCCTCATTGTATACGTAGATGACATAGTGATAATTGGGAATGATGTGCATGAGATCACCAAATTAAAAGCTAAGTTGGCTCAGGAATTTGAAATAAAAGACTTAGGTCTATTGAGATATTTTCTTAAAATCGAAGTTGCCACATAAGACAGAGACATGTTTTATCTCTTAGAAGAAACATGCTCTTACCCTACTTGAAGAAACTGTTATGTTGGGATGTAGACCTATAGATTCTACCATTGAAGCTGATCATAGCTGGTGAGTGGGATTGGTGGTGTTGTAAATAAGGAGAGATACCAGAGATGAGTGGGTAGATTGATATATCTCTCTCATACTTAGCCAGATATTGTTTATGTAGTGGAGATTATAAGTTAATTCAAGCATGACCCTTTCAATCTCTCATCTGGATGCGGTGAATTGTCACACCTCATCCTGAAAGACTCCCATAATTTCCTAAAGATGGAAGTGTAACTCAATACGTGACAATACTTGCGTCAGATTGCAATAATATATTTAAAATTAAGGGTTAATTGCACTGGAGCTTTTCAAAGTATGGAGTTTTTCTCATTTTTGGTTCTTAAAGTATTCAATATGTTTCTATGTAGTCCCTTAAGGAGACTGTCCACATTACTAACAATTTTTTATCATAAACTTATCACGTAATAGTTTAATATGGACAAAAAATAATTTTAATTACTTCTAAATAAAATTTGGGTAGTTCTTAACAAAAAAATGTGTAATATGGGTAGTTTTTGACCAAAATTTGGATAGTTTATAATTAAAATTGTATAATTTAGGTAGGTATTTAACTAAAATTTGGTCAAGAGTTATCCAAATTATTTTTTTTGTCCATATTTAAGTATAATGTGATAGGTTTATGATAAAAAATCGTTAGCAATCTGAACGTTATCTGCTTGAAGGACCACATAGAAACATATTCAATATTTTAAGAACTAAAATGATGCAATTGAAATATTGAGGATCAAAATAATACAAACCCTATACTTTAGGGACCTTTAGTACAATTAGCTCTAAAATAATAATGCCATCTAATGCCACAACAAAATAGTTAGACTGTATAACAGTGTGCACAAGGATGTCGTTTGTACCAAAACAAAATATTAGGGACTTCATCCCTTTACAACAATGGGGGAAAATCAAACTCTCTTGTACAACATGTGACAAACTTACTTAACTTCTCTCTTATATCTACCATGCTAATGCAGTAGTGGACCTCACTTTAAACTTCGGCATCTGAAATCAATAATTTTCTTGAGTGTACTGAATATCATAATAAAAGAAAACATAACAAAAATATGGATCAAATATCATTCCACCTATGTTCACGACCTGAAGAGATCGATAAAATCAAAGTGTTTTCAACTCATTTTAAAACTCAAATCAATCTCATATATCAAAATATTAAATATCCATATAAGCAATGTGTCAAATAACAACATTTAAGCAATGTTAAGCTAGCTACCAATAACATTTAAGCAATGTCAGGCTATCTACAACATTTAAACAATTTCAAGCTGTCTTACGACAACTGTGCAGTGTCCAAACAAACAAAATGTAAGCTATGTCAAGCTATCAACAACTTGGCATAGTGAAAATTATTCAAATCACAAGCTTTTCATAAAAGCAAATTTGATCCATGGTTTAAACAACTCCCCCTAAATTAATTCATCAAAAACTTCATGTCACATAGTGAAAAATAATTCATAGATCATATATTTTTATTTCCAATTATTATAAGAAGTACACTTCACTTTTACCGCTGACAAATACATTTGTTTTATGGTCGATCCTTAGGTGTAACCATATGTCACTGATTTCCATCGGTCACAACATTTCAATCAACTTCAAATAGATGCCAGTTTTCACACAAATAGAATTAGGTCTTAAACCTTATATGGTTAGAAAGATCTACGAGTTTGTGTTCTAACAAAAAAAATAGTGTGTCGATACGAATTTTCTAGTGAAAGTTATCGCCGTATTCCCATCTACTACCCAAGCTGTCTATCAGAACCGAAATACTGCCACATCTTCTATTCATACACCAACCTTTTCCAAACCCATTTCAGACCCTTACAAGACTATCACACTTCTTCCCCACAATCTAATTCAAAATTTAAATAATATATCCAGCCTGAAAATGTGTAGTTCAAGCAGCTACACTTTAAAATTTTCTACAGTGTACGAATACCTAGCAACTCTTACTTATACAACATGCCCATGAAAATAAATAATCATAATCTCGTCAAACTCTTATATTAAATCATTACTGCGGTGTCAATCCACGACTTAAGAGAATAATTTAAACATGAATTTCAAATTATTAAGTATTTATTTCACATACTCAATATTGAATTGGAATTGGTCACGACAACATGAGTAATAGACTCAATTTTCATAGTAATGAGTAAATTTAACTGTTGAATCTTCGTTCAAAGCCCCCAGTTTCCACCTCCCTTTCCGTACCCCTTTCTCTGATCTTCCTCTCTCTTTTTCTTCTTTTCTTTGTCTATTCTCCCTTTCTTATCCTTTCCTTTGTGTTTACATACTAAACACATGTCCTAAGTGGCTAGTCACACACACACACCACACTAGGATAGTTTTTTGTAAAAAAACATTCTTTCCATGTTATAATTTAACCCCCAACATTTGTACTTTCTATTACATTGAACCAAACCACAACTCAATTAAACCACTTATTGCAAGACGATTCATTTAAAGATGGCAACGACAAGCGACAACTAGTGATGTCATCTTTGAAACCGATATGCAAATAATGATGGGCCCAAGACAATAGTGCTCTTCAAACATCCTCCATTCACTCAACAATCGACATGTAGTTGACAAGTATACGACTATAGAAGGAAAACCAAACAATTATAAGAAGTTTGTTTTTTAAAATTGTTGCGATTCTGGCTCAGGTACCATGAAAAATCGTGGATTTTACTCTGTGTGAAACAATTTTAGAAGAAAAAAAACAAAAAGATTGAGAATAACGATTCGAGGTATGGAGCAAAATAAATCCTAGTCTTCACAAAACTGCTTATATATGGAGGTAGGGTATGCACCATAACGACCCAATTTCCATTTTGTAGCACTAACATTACTCACTAACATCGTATAGGCAAAAAAGATAATTGTTTCCTAAAGTATAGGTGGTTAGCATCAGATTTGCCTTTTCATATCCATGCTACATTGGTTCATATTTATATCGCTTGAAAAGTGAAAATTTTGTGCAGGAGAACTATGAAATCCTCTCTCGGTGCATCAAAGAGGATTTGGGGTTTAAAGATGGTAAACCAGTCGGTGCATGCATCATATACAAGTGCCTTCTCCATTGGCATGCCTTTGAGTCTGAGAGAACTGCCATTTTTGACTATGTTATTGAAGGCATCAATGATGTCCTGAAGGTGATTTACTCAATTGAAACCTAAGATAGTGTTATGTCATAGCCCCTCAAATTAGTAGCTATAATTCTGTTTCTTGTGGTAATATCTCAAAAATATTTGTATCCTATCGTAGGACTTGAAAACGTTACTGATGTGTTTTTTGTGATTTACTTCAACACCATTTTTCAGATGGGGGATGAGGATGCTATCTTGCCGTACTGGCTGTCTAATGCCTCAGCACTTCTATGCCTCATGCAGAGGAATTTTCGCTCCAATGGCTTTTTGACAGCAGCTTCTCAGCGTCCTGTAGGGTCATCTGGATTAAATGGGAGGGTCACACAGGTAAGTCATGTAGTTATTTGAGGGACTGACATGTTAATGTTCTTTGAACTGTTGGCTCTAGTGTGTAGTAGACTAGTATCTTTCAAGTGATCTGAGTTACTTGTATATACCTGATTTTTGGAAGACGTGAAATCTATACTTTCCAAATTACTTTTTTTTTTTTTCTGTCTACTGGAGTATATATGGGCATATTTAATTTTTTATTTCTATTTCAATTAAATTATTGCATATCGGTTGGCAACTAGGAAGCACGGATACAGACACGGGTGTCGTATCTGATAATATATGAACACAGGACATGGGGATATAACAAAATTTGAAAATCTAGGACACGTGTACGGAAAAAGTACAATTATTAAAATAATATAATATATTTTTAAAATAATAATAGAGTTGTAATATATTAAAAATAAAACATATATTACAAAAATATTAATAATAAGACATAGTAAATATTAATTTATTGATTAAAGTTGAAATAAATCAAAATAAATATCATCATTTTTATCAAACATCATTACATCTATAGAAAAATAAATAACACATTTTTTAATAATCAACAGTTTGTTTTGCTTTTAAAAAAAAAATATGTCTTGAACATGTTTGGCTCGGTTCACTATTCAGGACACTTTTAGCCGTGTCGGACATGTCCAACACTGCCATGGCACCCCTTTGAGAAGTGTCTGTGCTTCCTAGGTTGGCACCTATATTAAATCCTAAGGCTTGCTAAAACAGTAGTTTCCTTCACTCCCTCTCCCTCTAAGTTTTTCTATATCTTGTGTTTTACCACAAAAACTTATAAAAAATAAAGCATTATCAAGCTAGACACTGTCTTTCTTATTTTTCTCCCTTTAGTATTTTTTTAGGTAAGCGTGTACTGATGAAAGATAAAGGACATGCATAAATGTACTAGTACTGATACTGTGTAACTTGCTTTTATTGGGGTGGTTATGGAAAGGTTCAATACAGAGGGGGTGCTTTAGAGAGTAAGGTTCAACCCAAACTCGGTTTGGCCCTGAGTTGTTTAGGTGTTGAAGGATCTTTTTTTTCTCATAATAAACCTGGATTGGCCTCTACCATTTATCTGTAATGTTTAGGGTTTCAATGTATAAGGTGATCTTCATTCACTCTGATCAAATCTCTTTGCCAGAGATCATCCTCTTAGTCTTCCTTTGTTTGGATTCATCTCGTGTGAATGTTTCAATGGTTTTGTATGGAATTGTAATTTATCGTTCTTTCTTAAGATCTTGTTTGGTGGAAAAACATTGAAAGTTAGCAGCACTTTGGAATTATGGTTTGGAAGAAATCAAAGAGAATAGAGACATTGTTAGAGAGAAAAAGGAAGATAGTGTATTTAGCTTTACACTATCTTACTTGTTTATATTTACATATGAGGCGTAATTAGAAATTACCATTAGGAGAACTCTAAGCTGGGGTATTAAAATGAAAAAACATCTAACTTGGAAAATAGACAGCTAAAATTTGACCGAGCTAATGATTTTGTTAAAGTATCGCCAAATTGATCACCTGACTTGGCATAGAATTTGATAGTCTCCTTTCACGTTAAGTGATCGCAAATAAAATAACAATCAACTTTGATGTGTTTGGTAGGCTCATGACACACCAAATATTTAGGAATAAAATAGCTTTCTAGTAGTCACATTGCATCTCCATAGGAGATGACACATCAACACCCATCTCACGAAGTGGAGACCGGACCCACGAAGTCTCACATGCAATATGAGCCACGGTGCAATATTCAACTTTTGCACTAGAATGTGTACTGACAATCTATTTCTTATTGTGTCAAGTAACAAAATTACCACTGAAAGATGTATAATAACTAGAAGTAGATTATCTATGAATACGATTATCTACCTAGTCAACATATGAAAGGCAAGTAATAATGATGATAAGGGTGATATAGAAATTCTTTGGCCAGTGTTCCTTTTAGATGCTAAATAATGCAACAGACAACATCCCAGTGAGGCTTAAGTGGAGGTTGTTAAATTGACTCACCACACCAACATATGTAATGTAAGGATGTGTAGCTGTAAGATAAATATGCTTGCCAATTGTAGAGTTTTAATTGTTATTTAGCATTAGGGGTATTTGAGAAATTATGACGGTTATGATTAATATGTATACTGAATCAGCCCACTATTTGTGTTGTCGAGGGTTTTGTGTTTCTACTTTGCCTTTTCTCTCTTTTTCTCTTCTTTCTTAATTCCCTTAAACTTAACACCAACCAACCTTTAGTGATACCCCATGTCATAAAAATTTCTCCACTCGCAACATCTAACTTAACTGTCTAGTCCATCAGGGTGTCAAGTGTTAACCGGACGACACAAACAATACTAGTTGTAGGATGGAAATCCAACACATGCTTTCCTTGGCAAAAACTGACGTTAACAACTATGGAAGAACGATGTATGAAAATTGAATGGTCTGAAGTGGAGTGTTGAAATTCATACTAAAGTATAATGGTACGAAATTTTATCAAACAAAGCATGAGTGATTGTTTTTGGCCATACAATGTTTTCGTCAAATGACACTAATTTTTCCTTACCAAAAGTAACATATTTTGGATGTTGAACCATATATACTTTTTTTTGTAGGTCTCCTTGTAAGAAGATATTTTTTACATCCAACTAATAAAATGGCCAATCAAAACTATTTGCAACAGAAAGTAGAACCCTAATAGAGTTGAGAAGAGCAATGGGAGAAATGATCTCACAATAATCCGCACTAGATGTCTATTTGTAGCCTTTGGGAATCAATTGTGCCTACAAACGCTTTACAAAACCATAAGTACTATGTTTCACATTATAAAGCCAATGATCACTAACATGCTACTTAGTGGAAGAAAGAAGAGTGAGTGAATATGTCTAATTCTCATGAAAGGATTTCATTTCCTTAATGATAGCCGATTTTCAATTAAGAGATGCCAATGCCTATTTTAAGGAACTAGGAACAAAAAAAGAAGATAAGGATACAAAATAATGAAAAGTGTCAAAATTAGAAATGGGATGTAGTGCACTACTACGAGTGCCTTTCTTCAGCGTAATATATAAATTATAAAAAGATGAAAAGATGGACAACTCAAGGGATAGGACCCTAGTAACATCATGTGTTGGCTATGAAGAGGGTTTATATGGAACCACCAGTTTATCGTTAGAACAACAATAAACCTGCAATGGAGGAGTAGATAATGGGAAGGAATATAACACACAATTTGGTATAGTAAGCAACAAAGGCTTCCCCTAACGAAGAGAGAAAATCTGGAGAAAGATTTTGCCTTGACACAAAAAAAAAAAGGTGACTCAGAGTGTGACGCCCCAAAATTCGGGAGTCATTTCTCAACCTGCGGAAGTACCGGTAAATGCCATGTAACCCGACACCACTTCATTACATCCCATTTACTGGGATTATAACCAAATAGAGTTTGGATAGAGTCTCTTTTGTACCGGAGCACTACCCAACACATGACTTGTACACATATCAACTACATGATCATTCCAAGGTCTAAACCCCAATAATTAGGACTTATTATCCATTTTAATCATCCATAAAGGGTCATTCAATAAGTGAATACTTCTCAATGTTACATTTTAACATTCATGTTTTGGGAGGAGGTATCGGTACTTGTGATATGTGGTACTGGTACCTGGACCTTCTGTTTGTCAGGTACTGGTACTCATGTAACTTAGTGCTGATACCTGGGCCTACTATTTGCTAGGTTCCAATACTTATGCATCCTAGTACCAGTACCAGAGCCCACTGTCCTTTGGGGTACTGGTACCTGAGTTTACTGGAATCTAGGTGCTGGTATTTGTAAGCCTAGGTACCGGTACCTGAGCTCAGATTTTTTCCCATCTTTTTCATTTTTAACTCTAAACAATCCAATCTCATTACATATTCAATACATTCATTCACTTGTATCAAAACATTGTCTAAATGAGTTCTTTACATGCTCTGTTATTAAAATACAAGTTCAAAATAAATTTACATATTTGATGTACAATATGCAATTCCAAAAGCCATAATCCGGCTCCTTCAGCAACTAGGATTCAAATGAGGGTCGTACACCGACATTTGTTCGACACTTGAAATGTGTTCCTATAAAGGGTGGGATACGTTCAATTGGGTATCTCTTAAGGATGTTACGCTCTAACCCAAATGCATATGAAATGTCATATGCAATTCAACAATCAAGAATCTATTCAATACACATCTAATAAATGAATGTTACTTAACCATGCCATGTCATGAGATGAAATTTACACATGCAATGTAAATCTGAGCCTTTCATCGGCTCTCATAACACATGTATTGTCATGTGTATGTATGCAAACATTCCAAACCCTTGCCATTGATATTGGACATCTAATGACCATTTTATAAAAATCTTGAGTCTTTCTTAAGGTGGGTATTTTTGGACTTTCACCAACGGGTACTCAGCCAAAACGGTATCTATAGACTTCCACCAACGGCTCTGACACACTTTATGTACTCAATATCAACGGGAGAGAGTATCCGAAATTATCGGATCTTGCACTTGAGGGAGAATTTAACTCTTTTTGCTAATCTTGACCCTTGTTTTCAATGTAACCCATGCGATTTAGTTGAACCTCGATTCAACTTTTCTGAACCCATGTATCAACCCACCAAGGATAGTGTTGGATCAAAATCATGCACACGCACACTTATGTTGACTACCCACGAATGTGATGCTACCCGTGCATATGCAAATGTGATGTATAATATCATGTTCATCATCATATTATGAACACATTCGATTTCCTCAAGCATACCAAATTTCTCAAATGTCAATTATATCATAAAGTATAATTACATTCCATAAACACTAAGTATTTTATATCATTTTCATTTCAAATAACACACTTAATTATTTGTAGGCATTTTATTAAACACTTGTATGGCACAATGATTATGTAAACACAAGGAATGCCCAAATCAACATATTCTTCAAGAAATTTCAAGTCATGCAATTTCATCAA